TTTGTAAAATCTTCCCCTTGCCTCTCAAGTAAATGCATGTGCAATCTATTGACAGAAAATTCTGACATAATACAAAAAAGAAAAACAACAGAAAGAAAATGCCATTATAATGCTACAATTTTTAAAATTCCACTTTTATCCATGGCAGACTTAGGCCTCAAATGGTCCGCTCAATTTGAGTGGGTTAGTTGGTCTCAAATGATCATTGTTTGTCCATGACAAATAGCGGAGGTAAATAAGCTTTTCGAATTAAGTTAGACGAGTAACAACTAGGATTCAGTTGGAAGGGCAACGGGGCGGGTTCGGGGCTTCCCCATCCCCGACCCCGACCCCCAAATCACCCTCTGTCCCTCCCTGTCCCCAATTCCTGTCATGGAAAGGAATCCCCCCTCCATCCCCAACCCCGATAGGGATGAAATCCCGGTCAAAGACCCGAATCCCCGACAGAGTAAAAGGTTGAAATAGAGAGATTGAGACTGAGAGAGAGGACCATTGGGAGAGTTGAGGTCAATGATGAGAGAGAGGGTCTGATGGGCGACGACATCATGGCAAAGGCGGTCAACGACGATAGACGAAGGTTAGAAGGACTGATGATTGAAACTCTTCTTTGAGTATCTCTTCTCTATCACTTGAGAAGGCACGAAGCTAGGGTTCTGAGTCTTCTGACGGCGGCGGCGGGCAACAGTGACGGCGGTCGGCGATTTGGCGATTTGGCGACGAAGAGTTGAAGGCGATGGCACGCACAAAGCTAGGGTTCACTGGTTTAGCTGTTCCAGCGATAAAGTTGAGAATTCCCCGTCCCCGTCCTCGAACCCGATCAGGGATTCAGGGATTGCCCCATCCCCAACCCCGAACCCGTCGGATCGGGGAGCCCGGGTACCCGTCGGGGACGGGGAAAATTGCCACCCCTAGGATTCAGTTTGCCAAATTCCCCTCTGCTGAGGAATTGTAGACTTGGTACAATTCATGAATATATAATTGGAAGAATGACAGTTCAGCCCAGGGTCAGAATTTTTATGCCCAAAATACAATTGGGGTGAGTGTCAACTCAGAATTGATGCTAATTTATAGGTAGGCATTGGTGTATAAAGTGGTGGTTTTTGACATTTTAAATGTTTTTAGCTTTGCAGTGGAATTCAGAAATCTGCAATGGCCTGTTCTTACTTTCTCATATATATTTCTGATTTAATAGTGGGCGTTTTCATAGTTTCAATGTCTTTCTCTTTAACAACACCCTGTGGAGCTAGAGACTTGGGATGTATTCAAAATCCTAAAGTTATAGGACAAGGTTGAACCTCATTAAAGATAAACCATTCCGGGATTTCCAAGTAAGCCACCAGCCACATAAGAATTATTGTATAATCAAGTAAAGGGAGAAGAAATATCAACTTTATTATCTTGATCCAAATATGATTCAAAACCATCACAAAAAAGCAAGGCATAAGTAATAGGTTAGGGAAAACAGCCCACGAAAGGCCCAACCTCGTTAACTGCCATACTATTATGACAATATTTACAAAAAAAAAAAAACCTTTAATCTTTGGAGGGACTACTGACAAGGCCCATAATTTTCTCCATTTCTKAGGGTTGAAATCTATATTAATTAGTCTTGACTCCTGTCTTGCATTTAACTGCAAAGCAATCTAGTAGGCTGACTTGACCCAAAAGTGACCCTTGGTATTAGGGGTCCAAACAAGCCTGTCAGAACCATTAACCTTTGGCTAATCAAGATCGCAAATAACATTAACCAAGCCATTAGTGAAAGCCTGACTCATCTTACTTCCTTCCCACCTATCATTCTGATGATTAGTTAAATCACTTACTCAATTTAAGTGGGAAGAGGCTGGTCAAGGCCCACTAGCATGAAATGAGATAAACCCAAAACCCATGGCTCATCCCAACCACTACCATGAAATGAGATAAACCCAAAACCCAAGGCTCATCCCAACCACTACCTTGAAATGAAATAAACCCAAAACCCAAGGCTCATCCCAAATGCTATTGTTCTGACCCTTAGTTGCACTCGAACAATCTCCTTAAAATATCTCCCTCCCATAAGACTCTTGAAACCCCAAGAACAATTGAGGTTTGATAGACCAAAAATTCTTACCTCTCAAGCATCTTACTTTTGTAATTTTTTACCAAAGGTAGGTCTTATTAATCAGAAATCTCTAGGCTAATTTAGCAAGAACTGTAATTGATGTAGCACGATCCGGTCACTCCTAGCTGGTGGTGGCCTGTCTCCTATCTGGCGATGGACAGCACCTGAGATGGAGAAGACAGTGAAGGATCCTCAGGGAGCTCGCCCGGCGGGAACACTCCGACGATCAAGTTAGAACTCTGAGAGAGAATTGCAGAGAATACAAGGAGAGCTAAGAGTGCAGATAGCGCGAAATCAATTACCTTTGTCCCTTGGGGATCAGGGCCTTTTTATACTGATGCCCTGTCAATTCTGGCGTAACCGCCACTGATTCTCTATTGCAGTCATTACTGCCAGACCTGAGGTAGTGGGCGCAGGTAACCATTGCAGGGTACGTCCCCTTTCAGACTGGGGACGCTTGCCAGAGCCTGGCAGGCACGTCGCTTGGCAGGCACGCCGCCGCCTGGCCAGAGACGTGGGTGCAGTCTCCAGATCTGGCAGGTACAGTTGTCAGGCGATACACCGAGTTACCTGGTACCGAGCTACTGTTGACACATCGAGGTGCTTCTGCCCGAAGTAAGTCTTTGAGTCGATTACTTAGGCTTGGGCAAGAACCTACTGGCGAGCTTACCCAAAGTGCCTTCAGTTTGGGATGTTCCTTATCCAAGGATCTTAGATCGGGGTGCTCCCTTCTTGAGGAGGAGCTCGGGGGTCTCCTTACTGAGGAGGAGCTTGGGGGCTCCTCACTTGGGAGGAGCTCGGGGCTCCTCACTTGGAGAGACCTCGGAGCGCTCCCCCTTTGGGAGAGAGCTCGGGGTAACCTAAATACCACCTTGTAGCGAGTTGCTGCCCGTGCTGAGCTATCAGGCTGGGCTCCAGCGAGCTCATCACGCCAAGCTGCAGCTAGGCTGTCCTGCCGAGTTGTCACTTATGTCGAGTCATGTCCATGTGTCCCCCCATTATAAGGTCGGGCCAAATCACCCTCCATCAATTGCCCCCCACTCCCCGTGCTAGGGGTCTTGACCCAGCGCAGGGAGTTAACGGTATGATGGGTGGATTTGGCTCAGAGTTCAGGCGTCCAGCTAGGCAGTTCATCGGTCAGACCAGTTCGCCGCTCGACTCAATCAAGGGTGACCCGGGTCRCCCACGTCACACGATTTATAGACTCCGCGAACATCAAAAAATGCGCTAAACCGATTTCTCCTCGGGGGACGCGTAGTCGGTTTTCTTGAGAGCCGTTAGATCATCTTGATCTTGACCGTTGATGCCCGAGCATAGCGGCTATAAATAGTGGGGGTCCTGGGTTATTTTTCCC